TCCCTTGGAGTCACTAGGAACAATGGCCACAAGCTGAGGGAGGATAGGTTTAGGTTAGATATTAGGAAGAACTACTTCACGGTAAGGGTGGCCAGAGCCTGGAATAGGCTTCCCAGAGAGGTGATGCTCTCACCTTCTCTGGAAATCTTCAAGAGGAGACTGGATAGGCACCTGGCTGGGGTCTTATGACCCTTGCTACCCCCAGTGCTCCTTCCTGCCCATGGCAGGGGGTCGGACTCTATGATCTATCTAGGTCCCTTCCCACTCATTGATTCTATGATTCTATGAAAAGGTAACTATGACCAAACATGCAGAACATAAGTGGAGTTACATATGCATTAATAGTGTCAAACTCTAATGGACAGTATCTTGGGGTCCATTCACTATTATATTGAACCCTTAATTGAAATATAGTTATTAATAATTATTTAGCTACCTGCTAAAGGAAAAATGGGAGGTGATGACACCAGAAGAAAAAAAGCATGAAATGACAACAATAAATTATTTTTATTACAACTTTGTCAGTTTTTATTTAATCTGAAGTTGTAATTAATTGAAAAAGTCAGTGTATAAGAAAAATAAAATCTTATTCAATTTCATGGAGCTAATATTTCTCATATATTACAATGATTCACCTATGCAGAAGTAGTGATGTATGATCAGATTTGATAAATAAGGCATAAAAATAATAAGGAGTTTAATATATTATTTAAGATTCAAGTTAATTGTACAGTTGTTTCTTTTAAATGAATTTCCTGTCTCAAATGTATTATTTTTCGTATTGTCTTTTACCTCATGAAAACTGCAGAAGATTCCAGATTGAGTACTGCAACATTTCCAAGTATTCAAGAGCCTGATCCTAGGTTCACAAAGGTAAATAGACTCCAACAAACATGGATAATATTTGGATCATTCTGAAAGAGACAATAAACTAGCAACAAACTCAGGGTACTTATTTTCTCTCTGAACATAGGGATGTGTAACTAGTTTCCCAAAAATCTACTGCCTCCATCCTCACTCTCTTCTATGCAGTGAAATCATACTGAACTTTCTGTAAGAGTCTCTTCAAAAGGTGGAGTAAAAATTGTACGTAAATTAAATTAGCTGACATTTTCTTCAGAAAAGCCATATCTTGGGAAGGTAATGGTACTAGAAAATTTTAGATGAGCAAATCTGCTATCTAAAAAATGTTTAAATATGGAGACAATTTTGGCAATTGTTCTTATGTAAAGCTAAATTTTGTCCTAAACAACAATTAAACTATGGATCCACGCAAACAAGTATCCACTAAAATTCAACAAAACTATCCACATGCTGAAAGCAAAGTATGTGTGTAAATCCAGAAGTAGAGTCCACAACACAGTCCAAGGTCAGGATCTGCTGGGGGTCAGATGCCCCTTTTGGTATATGGCTCAGGGTCAGGATCTGAAGGGCAAACGATAGGGCAAAGTGTGAAAATAGAGCCAAACCAGAGTTAGGAGCCAGAAAACAGAACTCCAGGGAAATCTGAAGCTGAAGTCCACAAAAAAGCCAAAAACCAGAGTGCAGGAATCAAGAGGCTTGCCAAAGCAGAACTGGTTGGCCTGGGTTGTTTGTTGTTGTCGTTTTTTTTTAATTTGGGGGCCTCTGGGAAGCTCTCGAGCCATTATCACCTAAATAGATGGCCCACCCACCTGCAGGCTTGATGGCTCTGGGCCTGGGCCTGGGCCTGGGCCTGGGCCTTGGACTGGAAGGTCAAAGAGCTTACATTCATGGCTACCTGTGGCCTCTGTTGGCTGGGCAGAGGGCACTTGGCAGGGGCCATTTTATTTCTGAACCTCTCACTGGGGGCAGAAGCCTTGCTGGACAGAAGCTGCTTCTCTCCAGTGCCACCTGCCTTGGAGTTGGGGGCAGAGCAGGCCAGGGTGTGGGGTTCACTGCTTGGCAACTCCAAACTGTATAGATGCCAGCTTTCAGAGCAGCAGGCAGGAAATAATTCTCCTTCGGGGTGCACCTGTGGGTTGGACAAAATCCCTTGGCAGGCCAGATCCAGCCCGCAAGCCATATTTTGCCTGCCCCTACTCTATTAGCTGGGCAGAGGGTTCTTCTTGGAGGGGAGCTACGGCAGCCCCCTTGGGGCCTAGCACACCTGTTTGCAGATGTGGTGACCCTGGGCCTGGGCCTGGGCTTTGGATTGAGACTTGTCTTCCTTTGTGTCCTTGTTATGACAGGGTATTTAGCAGATTTGCGGATTAATTGGAATCTGACAGGGCCACAGCATAAGCACTTCTGCTATGACCTCAAACTTGCAACCTCTAAGCTGTCAACTATGTGCCTTAGCACCCGTATCACCTCAGCCTCATTGGATAGAGGCAGGAGAGCATGAGTTAACAGCTGTTCACTGGGCTCTGCTGGCTGGATAAAAGGACCTCCTTGGGCGCAGCCAATATTTTCTTTTCCATTTTGGGGCTACTGGGACCCCCTCTGGCCATCGCACAGGAGGAGTCAGAGAGAAAACCACTCAGCCAGCCTGCCCAGTAGTGCTGAGGCTGCCTCTTGGGCTGGGAGGCAGAATGGTGTAAATCGAAGGGTGCCCTCTGCCTGGGCACCTGTAGCTGCTCTGCTCTGGAGCTGCTTTGTTGCCCCCCCCCATGCATAGCTCAGAAGGCTTCCTGAGCCCACCCGATGAGTGGCACAGCTGGAGGAACAATCAGAAACAAAAGGCCAAGATAACAATAACGCCGCAAGCTCTGGAGTGGTCCACTGAGACACCCCAGAGAACTGTGTTAGGTCCAGTTATTTAAATCTAAATTAATTTTCTTGGAAAGTGAGGCAGTAGGACATGGAGCTATATAATGGGCAGATAAAAGCAGCTCCTACACTGTAAACTCCAACAGTTCCCTCCAAGAAAAAGGATTTAAATGCTGATGCGCGGAGCAGTCCAGACCTCCACCTGGATGGGAGTGTTGTAGCGCTAGAAACTGCGCGTGTGTGGAGTTCGCACCTCCGCGTGGGATCCGCAGAGAGCAGCAGGTTGAGCAGGGAGCTGCCTACAACCAAGCACGTGAGGTGCGAAGAAGGGGGTGCACCACACTCCCCCCGTATTCGGGCCCACGTAGAGCCAGGATCCCTGAAGGTGCATGGCAGAGGGCAGAGCGGGCGCACTCTCGTGCCAGGGCCGCCCATCTCTTCAGGACCGCAGAGACAAACGGATTCAGCCCCGCTCCCCGGGCAGCCCCCACTGCGGCCGGGGTGGTGGTGGGCGAGCGGGCGGCGGGAGAAGGCGGAGGCGGGTAGGCCCGAAAGGCGCGCCGCCCCCGCCACCCTGCAGAGGGCAGTAGCGTCTCCCGCGGGCCCTGGCTGCGGCCCCGCCCCACCGCGCCGGCCGGGTACGTGCTGCGCCTGCGCTGTGGGCGCGGCCTTTTCCCCAGCGCTGCGGGTCCGGACGCTGTGCAAAGAGATTCGGGCTT